TATCATTATGCCAAAAAATCTGAATTACTGTAATATTTTGTATATTGTTAAAACTGTAACTTTAATTGTAAAAAAAAAATTAAAATAAAAAAATAAAGAAAATAAAATAAATAAGCAAGTCTAATAATAATAATAATAATATCTCTTACTCATCTTCCAATTAATGCTTAAATATTACTTCTTTGGGGTTAAGAATCAAATTCTCATCACTTTTCCAGCCACCTAAAATCCAGTAAACAAATATCTTTCCCAATAAACATCTATTCCTGACACTAAAATGTAATTTTACACAATGAGGGAATTTGTGTAACTCCTATTACTCCCCAGCAATTAGAAGAGTCCACAATACATGGTTAAGTTCTTGGAATATATTTGAACAAATGAAGAAATTAAATTAACAGCCTTTTATAAAAAGTTAACGCTTCTGCCTCTGCTTTGGGAAGCATGTACTTCAAGTTAGTGGCGACAAACTTTTGTTTACACATTCATATTTTTACCCATTTCCTTTGAGAACAAAATGATTCCACAAAGGTTAAACAAAACTGGGAAAACAGGGGCTGGAGATATGGTTCAATGGTTAAGAACACTGGTTGGTCTTGCAGAAGACCCAGGTTTGAATCCCAGCACCCACATGGCAGCTAACAACTGTCCGTAACTACAGTTCCAGGGGATCCTACGGCCTCTTCTGTTCTCTCAGGTATTGCACGACACGGGTGCACTTACCTACATGCAGGCAATATACTTATACACATAAAATAAAAATAATAAATAAAATGTTTTTTAAAAACTGGGAACACAGTCTGCAGTAAAGAGTTCTGTTTACTATTCTTCAAAGATTAAACCCCAAAATTTGTCTCAAGGAACAATAAATTTGACAATTCATCTTTTTAAATATAACCAAAACAGTCTAGTTAAGCAGCCTAGATCATAAACCCAGAAACTAGATGTGTTGTTGGATTCCACTAACTATACACAAAAAAAGTCATCTCTTTTAATCAGATTTGAAATACACACTATAATCCCACAGACTGGATGTTACAAACAGTATCATCATGGTGACTTTTCTGTTTGTATGAGCCTCGGGAAAAGACAAAAGAAAACTCCATGAAATATACTCTTCCATTTGCAGAGGTATCACTGAATTCTACCTTCCCTAATATAAAAGGACATAAAAGTGTTAAAAAATTAAAAGAATAATATATCATGTACTGCTGATCCTTATTCTGTAGATAGTACTAAAAGCAAAGGTACATCAATATTTGTTTGTACTTCTAAACTAGAGAAACATTTTGTTATCTCCTGTGACTGGCACAGTCACATTAGCTGGCAATATTGCAGACCTGTTATGAGGTACTACATTTTCTGCTGAGCTACTTGATCAAACAATCTAGCTTTTGTTAAAGCATTTGATTTTTGGTGACTTGAAAGATACTCCAAGGCAATGAAGCCAATTCCAAACAAATTCGTTACAGAGGAAAGATTTACAGTCAGATGCATAGATTTTTTTTTTCTTTAATGAGAACACAGATGGCAAGAAAACAGGCAATTAGATCAAACAGTCAATATTAACTTCTAATTCTATAGGACACCTTTCATGTTAAAGGTTCAAGATGTTAATTAACTAATTCCTCAATGCCTCTTTCACTTAGCCAGCATCTTTGGGCTCTTGAAAGCATGTTTAGCACATGAATTCAATACTGTATCATCTTAATTCACATTCTCAAAACCCTGAAGCTCATCTGCCTGCTCTGAGTTTCTAGCATCACCTGAAACACAGAAGCCCACAATGCAACACTTGCTCAACAAACCAACCCTCCAAACTGCAGATGGCAGCTAGATCATACCTGTGCCTGTGTGTGTGCAGATGGGTGGAAGAGGTTCCCTAGACCAGGCCTTCCCAATAGCACTGTGCTCAGCAGTCTTGGAATAGGGGTGGGAGTCGGGATGAAGGCAGGGTGTTGTTAAAGTGCAGATTCTGATCCAGCATGGGAACTGAGATTCACACTTCTATCAAACCCCTTAGGCGCTTCTGGTAACCACAAAGCCCAGGATCCCCCAGCTTTTCTTTCTCATTAGGAAGGATTCACCTTGTTTGGGAGTACAGGCTTGAAACCCATATGCTAAAACATAGAACTGCCATGACAGCCTTAATGAAAAAACAGGTACAACTTCCCAACAAGCTACCGTTTCAATGGTACGTGAAACTTTTTGCCCCTTGTTGAATTATATCAGTACATTTTAAAACACCTTTAATCCATCTGTACCCGAGAAAACATCATGGATAAGGAGAAACTCTGATGTTAATATCTTTAAAGCAAATAAAATGAGGCGAGCTGCTTTGCATTTAGTGCCTAATCCCTGGACTTGCTGACCAGGTCTTCAACAATCCAGTTACAATATCTAAATCCACAGGGCAGAGAGGAGCCATAAGGAGGAAAACAATGACTGTGGAACAGAACAATCTCGATTCTGGCAGCAGCGTTTATGTGGTGTATTTTCAGTCTTGTACTTCCTCCAGAAGCTGCTTGAGTACACAGAGATCTAACCAAATCTCTGATACCAGGTAGGAGTGCTATGATATGCAGGTGGCACACTATAGAACCCATGTGATCCCTATGACAAAACACGAACTTTACTCATCTCTGGAATAGGAAATTTGGTTTTCCTAACCTTATCCTCTCTCCCATTACAATTTTAGCAATTAATTCATGATAACACAGATTCTAACTTCAACCATAAATCAGGTAGTGGTATCCATTGTACAAAATGGATAGAAACTTTTCAAAGCTTTCCCAGTGAATTCTCATGTGATATATGGGGAATACTATATCACAATTTACCACCAGACAAATTCAAATGATCCATCCCAGCAGGTGTATTAGTACTTCATCTTTAAACTCGGAACACCAATCAGTATGTAGATCATAAGAAAAGCAGCTCTTACCTATCACAACAAAACACTTTCTTCCTGCTTTGTGTCTATAAAATCCCAAGTATATTCCAAAGTGGATGGTTTGTTTCCCAAGAATCTGATTAACATACATGTGCATTTAAAGCTATATTCATGGAGACCACGAATTTAAAAAACAAAACAACCCTAAGAACAGCAATAGACTTTAGACTAGCCTTATGTAATTAAAATGAATTCTATGGGGGCTGGAGAGATGGCTCAGCAGTTAAGAACATTGGTTGTTCTTGCAGAAGACCAGGGTTCAAATCCCAGCACCCACATGGCAGCTAACAACTGTCCAAAACTCCAGTTCCATGGGATCTGATGCCCTCTTCTGACTTCCACAGGCATTGCATGACATGGGTATACTTACATACATGCAGGCAATATGCTCATACACATAAGAATAATAAATAACTTTTAAAAAATTAATTCTATTAGCTTGCTTACAAATAGATATACAGACTTACACATACTATGTTGTATGTATAAGATCTGACTGTAGGTGATATCATTTATTTTTGGTTTTGTCTTTAATCTGGGAGAGAGGTGTACATATGTATTTGTACCCATAAACATATGTGTGTCTCTGTGTGTGTGTGTGTGTGTGTGTGTGTCTGTGTCTGTGTCTGTGTCTGTGTATAGGCCAGAAGTAGATGTCAGCATATCTTCTATTAACTGCCCTTACTTCTTTTTTAGAAAGAGTCTCTCACTGAACCTGGATCTCACTATTTTGGCTAGGCCAGCCTGGCCAGTAAGTCCCTGGAATCCACCTATCTCCATCACCCCCAGCTGTGGGGATCCAGAACTGTATCACCATGCCCAGCTTTTACTAGGGTACTGACTTGCACAGCAAGCATTTTACCCACAGAGGCATCTCCCAAGCCCCACATCAGTTGTTTTAAGGGAAAAGGAAGAGGAAGAAAAAGAAGACGAGGATGAGAAGGAAGAGAAGGACTCTCTATGAAGTATCAGTCTACCACAGCCCTTCTTACTACATGCCCTGTCTACTTCTTCTGGACTATGAACTTGTGGCTCTCAGATCTTAGGCTATGAACTTCCTACAGGAGGTAGAGTGGATAATATCTTCTTCAAGGGATTCATGAGTATATAAGTGTGTGAGATGTGCAACCCTAAGTGACACATCTACAATGCAACTTCTATACCTAAGGCTCAGGGAATATAGCAGAACAGGGGGCAGAGAGAATACAAATGCATCCCTTCACCGGCAAAGCTTCCTCATGCAACAGATGGAGATTAACACAGAAAGCCACAACTGGCCAAAATGTAGAGAATGCAGAGTACATGTCCCTGGTAGGACTCCTATATTAAACCTCTGCCACCCAGGGCTCAGGGACCATTATGGAAAAGGGGGGGAAGACTGTAAGTGCCAGGGGTTGTGGATGACCACAAGGGAACAGTTTTCCAGGTGTCTGGGAACTTGCTCATATGAACTTACAGCAATGGTGACAGCATGTACAAGACTCATACAAACTCAAACCAGACAAAAACCTAGCATAGAATAAGGGAAATAGGGGCTGGAGAGATAGCTCAGTTGTTAAGAGCACTAGCTATTCTTGCAGAGGACCCAAGTTCAATTCCCAACATGCACATGGCAGCTAACAACCGTCTGCAACTCCAGTTCCAGCAGAATCTGGCGCTCTCTTCTGACCACCATGCGTATAGCATGACAGGGGTATATTTACATACATACAGGCAATACACTCATACACACAAAATTTAAAAATAATAAATAAAATATTTTTTAAAGTAGGGAAATGGGTAAGAAGCCCCGATCTTAGCTGAGAACTATTGGCAGCTGATCACTGTGTGAGGGAGCGTTGGTCTTCCTGAAGGGAGTGACACTAGATAGGCTGACCAGGCTCCAGTGGATGGACTCACATCTGGGCACACAAACTTAACTTGATAGACCTTAACATGTCTGAAAGAATGCATGAAAACTGGCAGGGGGCTATGGAGAGGTGCAGATAGGGGAGGGAAATCTAAATATGATCAAGTTGTATGGAATGTACAAAAATTCAATTAAAAATAGGAATAAAAGAGATTCATGAGTACAAATACACAAAAGTGTTGATTATAAAAAGTATATGCAATGACTAGTCTATGGCATACTGTCTTAAAACGTATGCAAGTACAGGCAGATTTTAAAGTGTTGATTCAATGTAGTCTCCCTGCACAATTTGCATCTGTTTAACTGACAGTGCCTAAGAAAACATGATGTTAAAAATATTTGGTTGCTCAATACCAATCAACTGGGTATGTATGATGTATGAAAAGGTCATTAGGAAATCTCATACCTGATAACAATCAAAAAACAATTTTTTTAAATAAAAATTTTTTTAAAGAGTTTAGGGGCTGGAGAGATGAATCAGTGGTTAAGAGTACTTGCTGCTCTTTCAGAAGACCCAAGTTCTCAGCACCCACATCAGGCAACTCACAATTGCCTGTAACTCCAGCTCTGGAGGTTCTAATGCCCTCTTCCTAGCCTCTGTGGGCACCAGCACACACTTGACATTCATTTAAACAAAGAAGAACATATAGCTATGCATAAATAAAAATAAAAATCTTTTTTAAAAAAGAGTTTGAAAGGAGGTACCCTGTATGGGAGGATAAAGCTCTTTCCAGAAATCATAGGTTATTAAACAAAAATCCCAGTGATAGTGATGGGCTACCTTCCTATGAGTTGATGGTCAAGGATATCCCTGGAGCCACCAAAAAATATAGGCAAATGCTCTTGTTTTGGGTTGCCCACCAGAACTAGATAATAAGACCCTATTGCTGAGCACTATAGGCCTTAGTCGCAGGACATAAATCAAGCTAGAAGTCACTGGAAGCTTCCTCCCTGGTAAACAGTCCTCACAGTGATGGAAAGTACTATGTGAGCTGCTAGGGGAGAATTGTCATCAGTATTCTTATTCAGCTGTGGACCCTGTGGACCACAATACCAACTGGCCAAGCCTATGGGTACAACAGTAGTAAATCTACTATGGGGATAACCAATGACAAAGATCTTATGTTAGCCCCACAGGAGAGAATTCACACATGGTACTATAATCTGGTCAAAAGTCTGTGGTGGGGAGAGCATAGGCACTAGTGGGGAAGCTGCTGCTGTTTTGCTGAATTCACATGATATGCCCATGGATCAGTGTTGCTGTCAGCTTTGGTCAAAAAGGCTTCTTTTTGCAATGATCAGTGCTAGCTGCAAAGACTCACAACTGGTCAAAGTATACAGAATAAGACTACTGAAGGCTCACCCATACACAGGGACATCTATAAACCCCCTCCAAGGCTCAGGAAACATCCTGGAAGAAGGATCAGAAAGAATGTAAGGACTATGGGGGTTGTATAGAATATTGACTTCTGAGCATGACCCGGTCACTGAACTATTGAACTCAAAGCAGCTGATGACACCCTGTCATCATAGGGAGAGGGTTCATAGGCCCTACTCCTCCCTGAGGATTTATATGTAGTTAAAGGTTGATAAGGAAGGAAGAACCATTTCTTCAGTGGTATGGCCAGTGGTAACGTACCTATGTTCCTGTACATAAACTCCTAACCATACTTCTGTGAACAACAGTAATAAAACCCATTGGGTCTCCCCCTCAAAAATAAGCCACGAAGCAGAAGGCAGGCTAGTTGGGGAAGAAAAGGGATTAACAGGAATGAGAGGGAGACTAAAGAGAGTAATGAGGTAGAGGTGAATGTGATTAAAATCCATTACATACAAGAATGAAACCCATTATGAATAATTAATATGTGTAATATATGCTAATAAAAACAAGAACAATTTTGGGTTACAGAAATTGGTGACTGTTAAGAGGCATAAAGGAAGTTTCTAGGGCATAAATATCTTCTGTATAATGATTATATAGTTGTATAATGAATAAAAATTTATTAAACTGGACACTTAAGATTTGTGTGTATAAATTGTACCTCAATACAAAGAGAGTCTTCTGAACTCCAAAAATCTGGGAATCACTGTTCCCAGAATCCAAGCCATCATGCTATTTTTCCCATCTGTGGCCAATGGAAAAAACAGGAATACTAAAATAAATGTTTCATAAGGCTAAATTTCTGTAACTTAAAGGAACATTCTTTATTTGGAGAATGCCACCTACCTTTTTTGTGACATGAGTACTATCCCTACTCTGACATTTCAATGTCATTTCTTTAAGAAATGTGAGTGATAATAAATGGCAGTGGTTTTTTTTCTTTCGGTTTCTCTTTTTGTAATTTTCTTTTAGTATCATTCAATGTGACTGTATTTTTACATGACAGAATAAAAACCTGATAGTTCACTCTTTTTTTTCTTTAAACATTCCACAAGAATGAAATGTGACTAACCACACTATCAGGACAACCGTTCTTTAAAATTGGCTTTGAACTTGCTTGCATACTCTAATGTATCTCTACGAGGCAGACAGTTTGCCTCTTCCCACTCTATGCTGTGGTCTAGGAGGTGATTCATTCTCCCCTGGAGGGACTAAGCTGCTTTGTGCCATGAGCCTCTCAAGAGTACTTCAGAGCCTAGACAAGGTCTCTAACATGGGGCCCTATATTTCTTGAAATCCTCAGTACAACACACGTCCAAGAAAATATTATAAAATATTACATCTTCTCACAGGAATCAAAACAGAGACTACACTGTTGGTTGGGGATTTTATATCCTTTCAGACCCAGAGACCTAACCATGACCACAAGCAAACACACAGTTAAGTTTAACAGGTCACCACCAGAATACCCAGCAGATAGAACACATCAGCCCTTCCCACTGCTAACAGAGACAGTTGGCCTCTCTGTGCTCAAGGTTACAATTATAATATGAGCAGGTTGAATTTTTTCCCCCATCAAGGAGAATTTTTGACAAGGTGCTAAGAAACTGTGTTACCTGTAAAACCCCTTGAGGTTCACTCTATCCTTTACCAGGTCAGATGCTTGAACGATAATAATATTTCTCAATGCTCTTCCTGCACAAGAAGAATTCTCTCCATAAATCTAAACGGAAAAGACAAACATTCACTATAAAAGTAGAACAATGTGACAGTCTGTGAGCTCTCAACAGCATGCTGTATATAAAGAACCATGATGAAATCCCTAAGCTTCAGACACATTTTAGCCTATGGAGCTATGAGTCTATAATTACCTTATTTTATTTTAGCTGCTGGTCCACTTATGCTATTAAGCTATAATAACTATTTTCCAAATGCTAAAGTGTTTTACTTAACTATAATTATATGCAATGTCCTTTTAAAACAAAGATTTCAGTGTTAAGATATCCACTATTTTTAAAATAGTGTTTTAATCACTGTAGCCAAATGAAATCTTTATACTATGTACAAACTTTGCCATACTGATAATCTACGCATTTAAAGATCCTAGAAGTTGGGGAAATATTTTTCCCTAGTTAGTGAACACCTTGAACCATAACATAATGTGACAACAGCTTAACTCCATTGCAGAGTTCACAGAAAATTCCAAACATCCTAGCTCTACCTATAGTACTTCATGATTCTATCTAGCCATCTCTCAACTCTCCCCAGAGAAGCTTCCTTATGCAGCAGATGATGATTAATACAGAAACCCACAACTGGTCAATGTGCAGAGAACAAGAGGCTGCAGAGTGCTTACCCTGAATAGGACATCTACATCAAACTTCTGTCCCCCAAGGCTCAGGGGTCATTGCAGAAGAGGGGCTGGAAAGGCTGTAAAAGCCAGAGGTGGTAGACAACCATAAAGAAATAGTGTTTTCCAGACAGCTGGGCAATTACTCTTACAAACACACAGTAATGGTGACAGCATGCACAAGTCCCATGCAAGCTCAAACCAGAAAAAAAATCTCAGCATAGACATGAGGGAGTGGGTAAGAAGCTCCAACCCCACCTAAGATAGAGGGTTTTTGTTTGTTTGAACTTCTTTTCTTAATCTTCCAATTCCTCCATCTGAGTTTCTGATTCCTAAAGATGAAGAGGGGTAGGTTTAGAGAGACATAGGCCCTTCCTTCCAAAACTACTTCCTTCTCTCAAATTGTACCTTCTTCCACAGACCAAGGCTGTTTTCACAAGCCAAGGAGGCTAAATGCAAATGTGCTATTTTCACAAAGTAAATGCTCATGAAAACTACTGTATATTCGTGCATGCTCACATTTTTTCATTTTACCCTGATTGTGATGGGGTTAGGCAGGTAAGTGCTCTACAACTGAGCTACACCCCTGGCCCGCTTGGTAAATGATTTCTGCACCTACAAGTACTTTATGTTGTTTGCTAAAGCAAGAAAATTGTAACATATTAATAATGACTTGACGGAGAACATGTCAACCCTATTTTCATACTTCTTTAATTCTCCCAATATCACCTGAATACATCTTATGAGAAAGTGGAAATGGCCAGAAATGATTTGTTAACATGTTAAAGAAATCAAATCTTGAATAAGCCAGATGACAGAAAGTTATCAAAATTCTACCAGATATGGGTCACCTGACACTTGACGAATCCTGACATTATACAAGGTTCACTCAGTCATTCAAGAGGTATTTAATGAGCAGATGACAAATTCAGGTTCTGTTCCAGGTGCTGGTCATACAGTGGGGGGCAAGACAGAAAAAGTCCTTACCTTCAGTTTCCCATTATTGTAAAGAATGGAAAAGTGTGTTGACTGATTCTTCAGTGCAACATGGTAAAACTCACCTCTTTGTGCCAGTGAGCACACAGGGGATGATGCCCTAACAGATAACTGTACACATATATCTCCTCTTATTAAAATTCTGTGGGAAGTGCATCCTATTTGTAAACTCTTGTGTTTTTATCAATACAAAAATTGGAACATGGGGCTAAAGAGATGGCTCAGCAGTTAAGAGCACTGGCTGCTCTTGTAGAGGATCTGGGTTCAATTCCCAGCACATGGCAGCTAATAACTATCTGTAACCCCAGTTCCAAAAGATCCGATGTTGTCTTCTGGCCTCCGAGGTCATTGCCCAATACGAGTGCACTTACATACATGTAGGCAATATACTCGTACACATAAAATATTTTTTTTAGAAATTGGAAAACATATTTATTCTATCACATTGATAATGCCTTCATTGCAAATGAATGATTATTTCCTATCTCATGAACACCATGAATCATGACAAAGATCAGGGAATCTCAAATACCTTCGCTGGTGTTCTTTGAGTGGGAGCAGATAGTAAGACCACTGCAGCGTCCCTGCAAAACTCAAGGTCAGGAAAAGCTATAACACAAGAATTCTCCACTAGTGTTTGTGAACCACTGTTACAGAAAATGCAGAGGGGGGTAGAGAGAGGGAGAGGGAGGGAGAGAGACGGTGAGACAATATCATACCTGGGAAGGAGTATGTTCAAGGTAAGGATTGGAAATTCTTCTTGAGAGAGTCTGTTTTAAAAAAAAAAATAAAAAAGGAGAAGAAATTAGACCACAACAGAAACCTTTGTCCCAAAAATGCAAAACACATGCAACAGTGTCAGGTCCGGGAAGTGCCCACACTAAAAGATGAATTTAAGCTTCAAGTCATAGGCCACACGGGATTAGCCTCCTTATGCTCACTTAAGAGTATGGGGTCAACCTCCACACCAATCACACAAGACTTTCACTCAACAGTTCCTAACTCAGAGTTCAACAGCTAGCAGTGCAGTAGAAAGCTGCACCTTTATATCCCTCATTTTATTCTTAATGTGTGTTAGATTCCATTTCCCTTTATTATTTTTAAAATATTTTATTATTTTTAATTTATGTGTATGCATGTATTGCCTGCATGTAGGTAAGTGCACCCGTGTTGTGCAATGCTCACAGAGGACAGAAGAGGTTGTTGGATTCCCTGAAACTGGAGTTACAGACAGTTGTTAGCTGCCATGTGGGTGCTGGGATTTGAACCTGGGTCTTCTGCAAGAACAGCCAGTGTTCTTAACCACTGAGCCATCTCTCCAGTCCATAATATTTTTATTTTATGTATATGAATGGACTGCCTGCAAGTAAGTAGGTGCACCCATGTCATGCAATGCCCACGAATGTCAGAAAAGGGTGTTGGATCCACTGGAACTATCGAGTTACAGATCACTGTTAGCCACCATGTGGGTACCAGGATTCGAACGCTGGGTCCTCTTCAAGAGCAGTCAATGCTCTTAACCACTGAGCCATCTCTCCAACCCCTCCCTTTCCCTTTTCATCTCTTTCACTACTATCACTCAGGCCTCCTTCACTACCCATCAAAAAGGCTACTTCAGCCTCTCAGTGCAGTTCCCTGCCCTCCAGTCATGAGTCACCCTGCAAATCTCAACTAACAAATCTCCCAAAATCCTATCATTCCACTTAGGTCCTCAGTAGCTTATATGAGCCAGCGAAAAGCCCTTGGCCCCACCTCAGACTGCCACCTACAGGCTTCCTGCATTCTCTCTCCACATCCCCACAAGCCTTCTTTTACTGAGATAGCTCTAAATGCCCTGGGCTTTGAAGAGGTACTATAGATTATGATTACAAGGCATTGTATGTACGTATGAAACTAACAAAAGTAAATAATTTTTAAAAGGTCTAAGTGATACTGAGAAGATAACTCAATGGTAAAGAGCTGACCTTGCAAGCATAAGGACCTCAGTTTGATCCCCACAACCCAGGTTAGATAAAGCAGAGATGGGCATGGTGGCACAGGTTGCTATCTCATAACCACGGAGGCAGAAACAGATGAAGTCCTGAGACTGACTGACCAGCTGGCCTAGTCTCCTTGACAAGTTCTAAGCCAATGAGAGATCTTATTTTAAAAAATAAAGTGGATCGCACCTAAGAACTATGCCCACACCTGTCTTCTGTCTCCACCCACACATAAACACAGATGCACATATACCCTCACACACATATACCTATAAACATACCAACACACACATACAATTTGTGAGTTTAAAAAAAGTCACTCCCATCTCTCCAGCGTCATACCATTTTCTGTTCAAATCCTCTTCCTTGATATTTCCCTGAATACTACTGGACCTCAAAGTTCTGGACTGCAATCATCTCCCACACAAGTATTAACCAGTCTTGACCCTGCTTAGCTTCGGAGATCAGATGAGATCAGGCATGTTCAGGGTAGTATGACTGTATAGCAGAGTCACCTCCCCAGTGAAGCACCTCCAATCGGAATGGAGTCGCTCATCTTGGGAACACTTTGTTTTTGCTTTTATTCATATGGTATAACCTAGGTGCCCTACACTGTGGCACACAAAAGATCCATGCTGACACCTTACACTGCTTTGCTCTCATGGCACCTAGCAAACAACCTTACAAAAGATGTTTAATTTTTTATTCATTTATTTAGCTATTTATACATCCATATCAGCTAAATACGTATTTGCTGAATGGCTCGAATTGTAGGCACTAATTTTTCCTACCTAACAATCTGGGAAGCAGCTCTATCACCCACAGATGCCTAAGCACAATGGAGAATGATTATCACTTCCCATTGCAGTACAGGGAAAAGAACAGAGAAGCTAACATTTACTGAGCTCCAACCTATGTTTAAAGACTCTTTACACCTCTGCTCTAAGACTCACTGTTTCTGAGAGCCCAGTTTTTAGCCTGCCACCTCCACTTCTTAGAATAATGTGCTACATTTACCAAACATACCCTGTCAGCCATCACTTTGTGGTAAAATGAACCTTCTACCAAATTTTAACCTAAAGAGAAAATTTCTATTCTGCCCCTTCCCTATACAGCTCCCACACTACTTACTTGTTAATTAAACAAATAAATTATTGGCTCTTTATCCATAAATGCTAATTAATAATCTGCTAAAGATCTGAAACTTGCATCAAAGAAAAGAAATTTTATAAGGTAGACAGCTGATTTTTCATTCGTACCATTCTGGCCTAATCTAGACACACTCCCAATCAGCACACTCCCTTCCCAGGCCTTTTGCTATCTGAGCCTGTTATATATTCAATTACTGTGCTGGATAACTTCAACTGTCAACTTGACACACCTAGGAAGAGAGAACCTCAACTGGGGAAGTGCCTCTGTTGGACTGGCCTGTGGCCATGACTGTGAGGCATTTTCTTGACTGTTGATTGATGTGCAAGGGCCCAGGCTACTGTGGATGGTGCAGCCCCTGGGCAGGTAGATCAGGGTTGTATGAGCACAGGCCAGGGAAGCAAGCCAGTAAGCAGCACCCTCCATGGTCTCTGCTTAAACTCCTGCTTCCAGATTCCTGCCCTGCTTAAGTTCCTGCCTTGGCGTCCCTTGAGGATGGACTGTGAGTGATAAGCCAAATAAACCCTTTCTTCCCAAGCAGGTTTCACTCAGTACTTTATCACAGCAATAGAAAGCTAACTAGAACAATTATTGAAATATCGGACAATGTAAAACTTATATATATACCACATTTTTTCTATGAAGATGAGTCATCATGGTAAGTTATTTTTTATCCTAAACATGGAGAATGAAGGCTCTTGTTTGTTTTGTCTTTTAGCCCCAGTGGGCCTGGAACACACTACGGAGACCAGGCTGGCCTTGAGCTCACAATATTCAACTGCTTCTGCCTCCCAAGTGCTAAGACAAAAGGTGAGCACCACCACGCCTGGCTTGAACATGGAGAATTTTTAAAAATATTTTATTATTTTTATTTTATGTTTATGAGTGTATTGCCTGCATGTATGTAAGTGTGTCTGTGTCTTGTAATGCTCTCAGAAGTCAGAAGGCATCAGATTCCCTGGAACTGGAGTTATGGACAATTGCTAGCCACCATGTGGATGCTGGGAACTGAACCTGGTCCTCTGCAAAAGCAGCCCATTCTCTTAACTTCTGAGCCATCTCTCCAGCCCCAAACAGGGAGAATTTTTAAAACTCAATATGGCATTATCAAAACTGACAATCTTCATTTATTCATCTAATTGAATCAGTTCAAGAACACAAATTCTTCATATGATCTAGTCCAAGAAAATTCCTTCTAAAAAGCTCTTAAAAACTGGGCAGAAACATTTTCATCCAGGGAAACAAACTACTTGCCTTCTTTCCACTGCCACCCAAAACCTAGCTGTCTCCAGGTTACAGTTATACAATCCCGGTAAACAGGATTCCCCACCCTACCCCCGCCCCCTCCACTATGGCTCCTTTCTAAAGATAGGTAAGGGGAACAGCTAGAGCAATGGGACTCTTCAGTGCTTAAAAGATCACCATGTTAAATCAGCTGCTAGTCCCCAGGGAATCCACAAGTGCAACATAATATGGCTCTTTTACAGAACACAATCCTCTTGTCAGAAACTCTTGTGAAGTCCTCTCTTAACTGGTCCCAAGGGGAACTTTGTTTCATTAACACTCAGGCCAGCAGTTCTTCAACTTGTTCACTAAGCTAGGGGAAGCCACAGAACTCTTTGTGGATCTCAGTGAAGTACTGACCCATTAAATTTAAAATAACTTTCCTAACTACTTCTTTAGAGACTATTTCATGTTAGTTTTCAGTACTGACCAGAAACAGCAAGGCCCAAAGACTTAAGATTAAGAAAAACCACCACAAGACATCCTGGGGTTGTGGCACATGCCTTTAATTCCAGCACTCAGGAGGCAGATCTCTGTGAGATTGAGGCCAGCTGGTCTACAAAGAGATTTCCAGGTTAGCTGGGGCTACAGGGAGACCCTGTCTCGTAAAAGAAATAAAGAACACAAGAACATGGGGACCATTTCATCTATCACCTAATGCTTAACAGAAGGAACTGTTACTTAATTTTATGAGATGAAAACGTCACTAAGTCTCCTAACAGAGTCTTACTCTCCAGCGTCTACCTGCCAGAGAGTCATACCATCAGGCTAGAATACTCCCATTTTAACATTTTCCCCTAATCTAGTGCTCAGCTGCCATCATCCCACCTTTGAATCCCCTGGCTTTACTTCTCAGCACTCCAGGGTTTCATCTCTTCACGTCTGTGGCTGTTTGCTTCCATTTATTTCACACTTATGAAGCACTTATTGAGCTCCCTGCCAGGTACTGTGAGAACATTTAGAAATAGAAGAACAAGAAACCTTCCTTGACTTATAACTTATAGAACCCCTTTATCAGAAGACACAAGATATAAACACTTCAAACTCATGAATTCTCTTTCTTGACCCCGATTTCCCTATCCACGTCAAATGTCTTCTGCTGTTGGTTTTGAATGGGATGGGAGATAGGGATGTTGAGACAGGGTCCCACTATGTAGCCCGGGCTGGCTTCAAACTTGATTCTCCTGCCCCAGCCTCCCAAATGCTAGAATTATAAGAATGTACCACCCAGTGCCCTCTCTTTCAAAGGCTCTCACCATTATTATCTCACAAACACAATGAGAAAAAGGGTAATGGTTCCTTTTCCTCTTTAGTTCCAACTGCCCAGAATTACTTAGAGTGGCTTCAGTGATTCAAGA